TTTCTAGTACAGTGTTGAATAGAAATGCAATAATTAGCTATTCTTGGCTTGTTCCCAATCTTAGAAGAAAGGATTTAGTGTTTCATTAAGTGTGCAATATTAACTCTTTCTGTGATCTTTGATGTCCCTATCAGATTTTGAGTACTTCCTTACTTTTGGGCAGCACAAGATGTTCTGAGCCCTTCTATTGCTTTTCCTGCCTCAGTCCTTGAATCATTTTTTTTCAGGGAGCTGTGGCTCCTAATATTAATGATTGTATTTAGAAACCGGGGTCTAGAGAGTAGTTGAGTAACTGTCACTTTTTAACTATGTTCAGAAATCCCAACCATCTAATTATAAAAACCATAAGAAGACCCAGAAGCAAGGGAATAGAAAAAGGTTTTGCTTATCACATACCTTCTTCACCTGATAGGTCCCAAAGCACTTTTGAGTTGCCCTTTAGTGTCAACTCACACCTACAATGGAGGAATCTAGCTACTGGTAGTAAAATAAATTTCGCAAAATCTCCCAAATGACAAGATAATTCTACCTGTTGTAAAAGAACAGTGCTGCCCTAGCTGAAATGTTGTTGTGGAATAATTAGTGCCTACTCCTTGTATTTTTTTCCCTTCATGGCAGCTTGTGAAAGGACTGAGGGGAAGAGATGAGGTCATTGAGTACCAGTAGGAATGAGAGCGGTAACTACCATGTTGCCAAGGTTTATTGTGGGCCAGATACTGTGGGTTTTGTTGTTGTTTACTTTGAGACAGGGTCTCCCTATGTAGCCCAGCTGGCCTTAAACTCACCATCCTTACCAATCCTGCTGGTACTGTACATTTATATGCTTTATGTGAATTTTCTAATTTTGTCTGTCTTACAACTACTCACTCAGGGTTATGGTGCTTCCTCTCTCCTGTATGGGTTCAGTATTGAATGTGATTCCCTGCTGATCGGTGCTCTGCTTGGCAGGAGTCACCAGGAAGTAGTAGTAGCTGCTGAAGCAGCGTGGTTGGGAGAAGGAATAGTGCCCTGGAGATTTTTGGGAAATGTCACAAAATTAATATGTGTTTTCATTTTCAAGATCAAACAATGCAGATGCCTTGAAATAAACTAATATCCCGTTCACCTTTCCTGCCCAGTCCTTCTTCCCATCCCCCTCCCCTAGGTAACCATTAACAGTAGAGGGTATATTCTTCCAGGTCTTTGGAAGACATGCTCAGTTGTTCTGAGAGCTGTCCAGAGGGACTTTTCTTTCCAAGAACTCTGTCCTGAGATATTCTGCTCCCCACTGATCTTTACTTGCCTTTCAGCTCAGCAGTTTTCCTTTTGGACCTAGTTGAGGAACTTAGCCGTAGAAACAGACTTATTTTCTTCTAAACTTGAACTCTGTAGACTGTAGCTCAGTGTTCCTGTTCAACCTCTTGTTCCCAAGGGATCATGTGTAGAAACAAGAAACACATGAGTCTGCTGGCTCTGTAAAATGTTAGATTGTTCAAAGTGTTACTTTCCAGGTGAGGCCAGTTTATTTTCGTTCCTTGCATCCTTTGTACATTAGACAGAGACAGTAAGTACAATGCCTTTGCTTACCTTTAAGTAGTATGTACAGATGGCTAAAAAATATGTGTAAACTCATGAAGATAATGGAACTTATGGCATACTCTTTGTAATTCACATAATCACCAATTCCTCTTTATGAGTTTAGATTTAAGTTGGTATTTGTGAAGCAAGAGCATCAATGGCCTGGGCATGGCCTTCTATATAATACAGATATCTTTTCTCCCTGCTCTCTTTCCTTTGAGTCTCGTCCTAAAATTTTGCCTGGGAGATGGGCAGTCTATGTCTTGGATCCTAATTGCACAGACACATAAGAGTATATTATCACAGTGCACTTAGAAATTGTTTATTTTTTGGCAGAACTGGAGTTTGAACTCATGCTTGCTATGCAGGTGCTTTACCTCTTAAGGCTTATCCCCAACCTTTTTGCTTTAGTTTTTGTGTGTGTGTGCTGGGATTTGAACTCAGGGCCTACAGCCCTTTTTTTGTGATAGGTTTTTTCGAGATAGGGTCTTGTACACTATTTGTTCAAACTGAGATCCTCCTGATCTCTGCTTCCTGAGTAGCTAGGATTACACGCGTAAGCCACCAGTGCCCAGCTTTAGTTATTTTTTGGGTAGGGTCTCATGAGAGCCTCCTATCTGTGCCTCCCACGTAGCTGGGATTATAGACATATACCACCATACCTGGCTTGTTGGCTGAGATGGGATGGCAATAACCTTTTTTTTTTTGGTGAAACTCAGGGCCTCACACGTGGTAAGCAGGCACTCTTACCGCTTGAGCCACTCTGCCAGCCCAAAGAAATGAAGTAGATCTTTTTGGAGGTGGGGGGAATACAGGGGATTGAATCCAGGATCTTGTATATGCTAGGCAAGTACTCTACCACTCATCACATCCCCCAGCAAATGGATTTTTTCTTTCTTTCTTTTTTGGCAGTACTTGGGGGTTTGAACTCGGCCTTACGCTTGCTGGGCAGGTACTCTACCACTTGAGCCATTCTGCCGGCCCTCAATAACTTTTTAACCAGGATAATCCTGAATGTCATTCCTCTGGATCTTCACCTCCTGAGTAGCTGGGGTTTCAGATGCATGCCACCATGCCCAACTCTTACATTTAAGAAATTTAGGAAGGCTGGGAGAAAGGTCTCCCATACATTGTCTCAGCTATCAGGAATCTACCACAGAGGATGGACTTGCTGACACTGCGTAGGACTGCCTTGTGAGTGTGTGTGGCCCTGGGGCCTGCTGCCAGACATCATTTGCTCACATAGACTTTAACTTTATGGCAGAATTGCTGTTCTCAGTGTGTTAGCTGCGAAACTATTTTCTTGATTCCTCAGCTTCTTAGATTTTTGGACCTTCTTAGGCCTTTTTAAGTTTCTCACTCACATTCCCTTAGGTTTTGGGAAGCATACAGGAAAAGGTGACCCGTGGCAGCAGTCAGGGGTCTGAATGTTCTAGCCATATCTCTGTGTCTTATCACATGGTGCTTTGATTTCATTAGGAAGTTCTACATGGAGAAAGAAGGAAGTTGTTTTTAGCAACTTTCACTTTCTTGTCTTAAGCTAGATAATACTTATGAACCCAAAACACTGAAACCAGGTTGGAGCACTTATATGTGCTCCAGGAGGAGGGGATCTCTTCACCCAGACCTGAGGCTTTATGCAGTGGGTACTGATAACTCAAGGAAGGTAGGACTGTGTGTGGTGTTGATGGACAGTGAGTAAGCTACTCTTACACAGTTCACCCATGAAGGCCTGCACTAGCACTTACAAAGGCATGAAGATTTGAGAGAGCATGATGGTCTTGGGGAGCCACTGGTGATGCTGTTTTTCAGGGGATGCCAGCCTGTGTTTTCATTTCCTTTGCCCTTTTCTCCTGTCACTTTGGTGTGTCTGTTGTGTTGCATTGCTGAGGTAAGGCTTGAGTTCCTGAAAGGTACTAAGTGAGTTGAGACTGTGAATCTCTTGAGTATACATAAGATACACATACATGCACACATGCAGTCTTGTAAAGTTATTGACAGGTTTGTCTTTTTCCATTGTGTGTGCGTCTCTACTGTGTGAGCACAGGGTAATTATCCCCTGCACACTATTTCTGAGGTTTGAACTTGTATGGTGGTTCATTTTATGTCACCTCATTTTGAGGTTATTGGCCTCAAAATCTAGTTTTATCATTTATGCTATTTTTAGCCCATCATTTTAAATATGGACAGTGATGCAGTATGCCTTTTTGTTTTCTCCTTGAGAAAGAATCCATGTATGTCAGTGTTTGTAGGAAAAGAGGGTGACATCACATTGCTTCTGTAGGCTCTTTGTTGGTGAAATCCCTTTTGGTAGTCATAGACAGGAATCTTGGATCTTCCTTGGCCATTACTCTTTGATCAAAATACAAAGTCTTCTTCCTGGTTTTGTGTTATAGAATTAACTTGAGCAGAAATCTCTCTGCTAGTTCCTTCCCTGCAGTTGTGAAAACTGGAGAATATTTTGTGAATTTGATTAGAGAGTGACCATGTTGAAGAGATTGTTTAAGACCCATAACTACAAGGCTGGTTCAGATATTCCAATTAGAGAGAATGTTGAGTGAGAAAGGCATATAAGACAGGCTCTCTGTTCCTAAGAGCAGCACAAACCAAACTGGGTCTGCAGTACAGAAAACTTAACTCTTCCCCTTCCCTTCTCTCTCCCCTTCTCTTCCTCTCTCCCCTGCCCCTTCCCCTGTCCTCTTCCTTGCCTCTCTCTTCTGCTACCTAAACACTGTCCCATTGTGGCTGCTGGGAATAAAGTCACTAAGTAAAATAATGTTGGTGTTTAGTTCCATTTTCTTTTCTCTCTTTCCCTACCAACTTGTGGGTTAGAATTTAAATCTGTATGGTTGGAAGAATTCTTGAAGAGATGACATTTTCATCCCAGCTTCAGAATCAAGTCCAGGGTTAGCAGGGACATTCTCTGCTCTTGTCTGAACTTGTCATGCTTAATTCTGAACAGCAGAGCAAACTAAAGGTAGCTGTGAGTTGGATTAGGGAGCAATAGATGTACAGTACATTCTCAGATAGTCTTTGAGCTTTCAGAATTCTTAGAGTAAGATGCTGGCCTGTCTCTGCCACTTCCAGGTGTGCCTTATTACTAGTCACACTGGTTTTAGGTGAAGGAAAGTAAAGTTGTGGCTGGTGAGACAGACATATACTTTTCTTTGGAGAGAGAGACAAGCTTTCACACAAGCAGTGTTAGAACCTTAAAGTCCTAGTCCTTGGTGAGGTCAGTTTTGGTTTTTGGTCATACAAGGTCAACAGGAAGACCCTTTGAAATTCCCTGGAAATCTAAGTTTCTCTTCTAGGGCCCCAAATGACAAACAAGATTGTATGCCCAAGAAATGCTGAAGCAGAACCTTACTGCTTACCCAAGGACCGTAGTATAGTATTCATCCTCCCTGGACTGCAGTGTTCCTGATCATTTCTCTCCTCTGTAGGCTGACAGACTTCAAGGATGCAGCTGGTGCTCCTGGAGGTGTGTGGCACCTTACCTGAGGCAGGCCATACCATGTGGCCATGATGTGGGCGCCTCATGGCCTCAGCAGGAATAGAGCACTACAGTATTGGCCTCCCCCGGGGAACCAGGTTCAAGCGAGGCAATCCCTCAGGCACAGTGCCTGCCCCATCACCTGAGAAACCCTCGGAGGGCAAAGTCTGGTCTCAGGCCCATCAGCAGGTGAAGCCAGTCTGGAAGCTGGAGAAGAAGCACGTGGCCACACTGTCAGCAGGGCTGGGCCCAGGCCTGGTGGGGGTCCCACCTCAGCCAGCCTATTTCTTTTGCCCCAGCAGTTTATGTAGCTCTGGGAGCACAGCTGTCATTGCAGGCCACGCCAACCCGTGTTACCTGCACACTCTTCCGGACTTGTTCAGCAGTACCCTGCTGTACCGTCGCTCCAACGATAGGCACAAACCATACCAGCAACTGGAGTCTTTCTGCATGCGTTCAAGCCCATCAGAAAAAAGACCTTTTTCTCTCCCTCAGAAGGGCCTCCCTGTCAGTCTTACTGCCAATAGAGCTACTTCTTCCAGGGTCTTCCCCATGGCCCAGCCCATGGCATCCTCATCCACAGATCCATACCTCTCACTGGCAGCAGCTGGCGAGAACCCTTCAAGGAAGAGCCTGGCCTCTGCCACCTCAGGGAAGATCCCATCTCCACCATCGTCCTCCTACAAGCCCATGCTGAACAACAACTCCTTCATGCGGCCAAATAGCACTAAAGTGCCTTTATCACAGACCACAGAGGGCCTCAAGCCAGTATCCTCATCCAAGATCCAGTCTGTCTCCTGGCATCATTCGGGGGGTACTGGAGACTGTGCACCCCAGCCTGGTGACCATAAGGTGCCCAAAAGCATTAGCACTGTCCTAGATGTTGCCACTCCTCATATCGCCCCATCTGCCCCTAGTGGCCTCAGCACATCCACCACCAGTGTTGCCTCTTCCCAGTACAACCGGAGTAATAGCATGGCCTTGAGGGCAGAGCCATATCCCTGTGGCGTGGATGACAACTTGGATTCCCAGACTCTAACTAAAGAGGTTCGATTCACAGAGGCTGTGAGGAAATTGACTACAAAAGGCTTTGAGAAGATGCCACATCAGGGTTACCAATTTGAACAGTCTTCTGTTGTGAACCCCAGCTTTCAGTGGAGCCTCCTCAGCAGGAGCAGGCGGTGGAAACCTCCTGTGGGAGGCCAGCGGTTTCCTCAGGAGGATGCTGGAACCAACAGTAGGAACCTCCCTGGTGCCTCAGACACCATGGGGTTGGACAGTACAGTTTTCTGTACCAAAAGGATCAGCATTCACCTCCTTGCCTCACATGCCAATGGGGTCAACCCCAGCCCTGCCTGTGGGGCTGCAATTGACCCCCCACCACTTGGAGAAGACATAGATCCCATTCCCTCTTCTCCCCTTCAGCTCCCTGAAGTAGCTGAAGTGGCCACCCGAGTCTCTTCCATCCATCTGGGCCAGCCTGGGAAGGAGCTTGAGGAAGCTGGGGAGCTGGATTTACCTACTAGGGGTAGTGGGTAAGTTGGAGAACTTTCTGTTCATTTAGAGCCATACAATGCATACACCATAATTTGGTGACACTGACCCTGTTCCTCTGATGGTTGGTTTTATTTTTTAGCAGTTCTAGAATTTTTGCTTTTCACTTTATGGCATAGATCAGGAAACTGCAGCCTGCAGGCCAAATCCTACAGTAAGGTTTTATTGGAGTAGAGCATTGCACTGCTTTCTTGTTACAACAATAAGGATGAGTAGTTATGATGGGCTGAGTGACTTGCAAAACAGAAAATACTGCTGGTCCTCTAGAGAAAGAGTTTGCTGACTTCTGTTTTAGGTTATAACCTGGGAAGAAATAAAAATTCCAGGGCTGCCTCACACCTGTAATCCTAGCTACTCAGGAGGCAGAGGTCAGGAGGATTGAGGTTTGAAGTCAGCCCAGGCAAATAGTTCTTGAGACCCTATCGAGAAAACCCATCACAAAAAAGAGCTGGTAGAGTGACAAAGTGTAGGCCCTGAGTTCAAACCCCCAGTATTGCAAAAAAGAATTCCAGACACCAAGTTTTGAGGTCTGGCTTTCTTTCTTGTTCTAAACTAAATCAGTTTCCCAAGCATTCCTGGCATGACAGCAATTCAGAGTTAAGGCATACACATTGTTGGCTACTTCTTTTGTGCCTTGTTACTTTTTTGAGACTTTGTTCTACAAAGGCCTTCTCTGGGTTCCCCATGAACAGCCTAGAGACATTTGAAGTCAATTGCTAGATATATTCATGGATGACTTTTTTGTATGAAGAGTTTCGTACTCATGTATTATGAGGGACTTAAAGAAAATGGAAGGCATAATATCTGTATGCAGATGAAGGATGTAAGGTTGAGGAACTATGGCTATACCTAAACTTTAAGGCTAGAGAAATGAGTGAGGTCCAGATAAGAAATAGCAGATTGGCAGGGCATGATGTTGCATGTGTATAATTCCATCTACTCAGGAGGCAAAGTCAGGAGAATTGAGGTACAAGGCCAGCCAGGGCCCAAAATAGCTAGACCCTATCTCAAAAACAAGCTGAGACTGGAGGCATGGCTCAAGTGGTAGAGTGTCTGCCATCTGCCTTGCAAATGTGAAGGCCTGAATTCAAACCTCAGGGGGAAAAAAATTAAAAGCTGGTATAGTGGTGCATGCTTATAATCCAAAGGATAAGGAGGTGGAAATTAGAGGTCCAAGGCCAGCCCAGGCAAGGTTAATGTGAGAACCTATCTGAAAAACACTAAAAGCAAAAGAACTGGGAGCATAGCTCAGGTGGTGGAGCACTTGTGAGGCCCTGAGTTCAATCCCCAGTATTGAAAAAAAAAAAAGAGAGTGAGCAAACAGATTAGTGACAGGGAAAAATAAATACTGGGAGATGAAGAAGGAATGAGAATCTAACTGTAACTTCTCTTATGGAGTTGGTGTGACTGGAGGCATGATTCTTTCTTTTAGTTCAACTACTGACCTCCAGCCAGACCAGGCTGAGGCTGAAGATACAGAAGAAGAACTAGTAGATGGTATAGAAGACTGCTGTAGCCCTGAAGAGAATGAAGAGGAGGAGGGTAAGAAAACCTTTCATCCCCAGTGGGGGTTTGGTCACATCCTTCAAGAAGGGAACTAATTAATCATTTTCTTTGGGGGTCTAAAGGGAGGATTTCTTGGGGACTTTGGTCTCTAGTTCTTCTGTCCTACCAGTCTTGCTTCCTCTCTGCTGCTGTGAGCTCAAGGAAGGCAGTGCAAGGCAAATGAGTGATGCTCATGGCTCCCCAAGAAGCGCTGAGCCCAGGATGTTCCAGGAAGAGCACTCTGGGCTTACTGAGTATGTGTGGCAGCTGCTGCCAGTTGGTTCTTCTCTGCATTTCTCCCTCAGGAAACTCTGAGTGCTCCTCAGTAAGTGGCATCTCCCGCAGTGAATCAGTAGCATTGATCTCTCGGTGAGTGTTGGTTGTGTAGATCATTGGCAGATGCTCATTTTCAATCCTTTCAAGATTGTGAAGAGGTACTGGCCCTGAGAATCCTAACTCATTTTCACCAGATTTTTGTGTTTGTGACTTTCAGCTTTTGAGGAGGGAGCAATGGGGAACCAGAAGCACACTCATCAGCTGGGTTTAAAAACAGTACCATGGACCTTAGGTTGTAAGTTGGTCATTAGGCTCCAAAAAATTGATCAACAAGAAGACAAATAATTTCAAGAAGTATTTTAAAAAAATGCATGACCAGGGCTGGGGATGTAGCTCACTGGTACAGTGCTAGCTTAGCATGCATGGTGCCCTGTGTTTAATCCCCAGCATCTCAAAAACGAAACAAACAAGCTTAAAAAATCTATAACCAATTAATGAGGAAACATATTTGAGGTAAATTCTTAGTCCCTTCAGCAATCTACATGAGGATAATTGGACCTTTTACCATAAATGCACCCTATTGTCAGAAATACTTCTTTTTTTTGCTGGCACTGAGTTTGAACTCAGGGCCTCATGCTTGCTAGGCAGGTGCTTGTATGTTCAGTAAAATGTTCTGTAGCTCTCTTCTGAAGTTTTTTTTGTATTAGGAAATATGGCTAATATTAACCTTTTTAATAAGAAATGAAATTTAAAATTCTTTAGCTTTCATCCAGGTTATGTTATTGACTGCCTTTGGTAGCATCTGAGTGGTGTTCATTTCTAACTAGGGAACCAATAAAGTCAGCTTCTCTCTCTGTCTCTCTTTTTTCTTTCTTTTTCCTGGTACTAAGGATTGAGGATTAAACCCAGGGCTTCATGCATGCTAGGCAAGTGCTCTACGGTACCAACCAAGTCAGTCTCCTACTATAAGTTCTTTTGTAGGACAACTAGTTATAGGATGCTATATAGCTGAGAAGAGGAGTTGGGAAGGAAGCAAGAATACAGGACTAAGAAGATGTGGAACCTTGTTAGAGTTTGCTAAAGGGTCATTTAAACTATAATTAACATTCTCCAACATAATCTCTTTTGTTCTCATCATATCCAGCCTTGTCTCAGAATGAGGCTATTTTCATTAATCATATTGTTCTATTAAATATTGAAAAGAACCCCCCCGAGTACCAAACATTAAAGTTTTTTTAATTTAAAAAATAATTTCTACTAAATATTCAAAATAAATGAAATCTGAGAATGGAAAATTGGTATTTTATTTTTAGTACAAAATTTCTATTCATTTATTTTATTTATTTATTTTTTTGGTGGGATTGGGGTTTAAACTCAGGGCTTCATGCTTATAAAGAAGGCGCTCTACTGCTTGAGCCACACCTGTGGTCTGTTTTGCTCTAGTTATTTTGGAAATGGGGTCTCACAAGCTATTTGCCCAGGCTGGCCATGATCCTTCCAATCTCAGCCTCCCAAGTAGCTAGGATAGGTGTGAGCCACCAGCATCCAGTCTCTATTCTCTTTTTTAATTAAAATTTAGCCATATCTGTCAAGGCTTACCCAATATATAGAGCATCCAAAGTGGCTACTTTTCTTTGTATCAACTCTGACATAGATGCAGCTGTGAAGAAAAGAGTTTTTTGTTCATTAGTTAGCATGAACAAGGCTAGCTGCATCTCCTTTTATATCATGGTGTAGCAGCAGCTTTATCAACTTTAGAGCCCCAAGCCAGCAAAGTAGCAGAGATGTCTCAAAAGTGGGAGAGATAATGGCCAAGCACAGTGGCTCAAGCCTGTAATCTTAGCTGTTCAGGAGACTGAAATTAGGAGGATCACTATTCGAGACCAGCCTAGGCAAAAAGTCCACAAAAACGCTTATCAACCAATAAAAGCTGGATGTGGTGACAGGTGCCTGTCATCCTAGTTTCTCGGGAAGCAGAGGATCATGGTCCAGGCTGGTCCAGGCTGGCCCAGGCATAAATGCAGGACTCTATTTAAAAAATAACAAAAGCAAAAAGGGCTGGGGTTATGTGGCTCAGTGGTAGAGGGGCCCTGAGTTCAAACCCCAGTATTGCAAAAAAAAAAAGGTGGGGTAGAGATAGAATTGAGACTTTCTGTGAAAGTGGAGAGAAATCCTCTCACAGACCCTGAGTCTGGTGTATAAACTGTCCCTTTAAGCTTAACCTATCCTCCTTTAAGAAAAGCAAAGCTACTTCTGGTTGTAGACACTGGATGCTATTAAGTACTTCTACTCCATAAGAAACAGATAACATGTAATTGATTTGGACTCCCACCTTTTCCATACTTAACAGTGGTCTGTATTTATCTATAGGGCTGCTTCAGGAGAGCTATACAGCCATTTATCTAGCCTTCCTAATACATAAGATAAAATTCATTGACCGGGATGTAGCTCAGTTTAGGTTTACTCTCCAGTACCCTGCCCCACCCCTCAAAAAAAGAATAGAGTTCACAAAAGGTATTTGTTAGTCATTTGCTCATTAACTTACTGGTACAAATAACACACATATAAACATACATATATATAAATATGAGACTTAAAACATGGTTTTCAAGAAAATAGTAATTGATGAATTCCAAATCACTTTGCATTTTAAAGATGGCTAAAATCAGAAATACTGATTTTTCAGTGAATTAAAAGCCTTTGAAGAAAATATTGGGGGAAAGTAAGACTAGAATTGTTTAATTGGGGATTAGTATTTAAATTGGCTTAAGAAATCTAAAAAAAAGTCGCTAATATTTGAAGAGTTTGGTGGCATGTAGCTGAATTCCCAACACTCAAGAAGCTGAGGCAGGAGGATCATGAATTCCAGTCTAGCTTAAGCTACTTATCAAGAGCCTGTCTCAAAATAGCAGTAACAGTAACAAAAAACATTTGAAGCACTGAAATGATTCGAATACAGTGCCTATTTCTGTTGGACTGAAAATAACAGGTAAAGTGACTTTTGTAGTGCTGGGGATTGAACCCAGGGCCTTATATGGTAGGCAAGGGCTCTACCACTGACTTATACTCCCAGCTCTAAAAGTGATTTTCTATAATCTGAAAATTAATATCATGATAATATTTGTGGATCCTGTCAACGTAGAGGGGGAATAACTGTTCTTTTCACTTTTAAATGCTATTTTATTAAATGTTCTGGGCCAATTGGCTTGTTCTGACAAATGGCTGAGGTGTTTGCTATGCTGACACCCCTTGATTGTGCTGGCTGAGCCATTGCTGGATCAGCAGTAGGCACCCCTATAACCACTGGCACATCTGTCTGTGAGTTCCAGACTTGTGTTGCCATTCTTTTTGTGGAAATCCAGTAACATGAGTCAATCCAAAATGGAGAAGAGTTCATTCACATGAACCTGAATATAGATTTAGAATTTTCTTTCTGTTGCTTTTTTCCCTTTTTCAAAATTTCTGTACCTCTTCTAAGGTCTTTGTGCTTTCCCCCCTTTTTTTATTATCTGTGTCCTTTTTTTTTTTCTTCTTCTTCCTATCTATTTCTCTTAGTTTAGACTAAGTCATAGGAAATGTTGGAGATGTATTGTCAAAAGAAAAACGTGACTCTAGGTGACATTTAATGGTGTGACTATATAGCTTACGTCTAGCACTTTATAGATTCATATTTACAAAATGATTAGAGCATTTGTCTTTACAGAACTATTATATATAATACTGTCACTCCTCAGGATTGTTGCTGTCCTTTTCTCTGCCACCTGTTTGTTTTTTTCATCTTAGGAATTGCATGGAGATTCTGACCAAACCCCTTGCCAATCATGAGAAAGTTGTCCGACCAGCCCTCATCTACAGTCTCTTTCCCAACGTGCCCCCTACCATCTATTTTAGCACTCGGGATGAGAGAGGTAAATGTGTTCTGTAACAAGGCCCACGAGGGCCTCAGGAGACGAATGCTGGGGCCATGGAGTGGGAGAGTGGCTTTGAAGGCCGTTACCACACTTGAGTTTCACCTGATTGTAGGTCTAATATGGGGACCTTTTCTTCTTCATTAGTTATTTATTTGTGTAGTTTTGAGCCAGAGTCTCACCGTGTATCCCAGACTGGCCTTGAACTCATAATCTTCCTACCTCAGCTTCCTGAGTGCTGGGGTTACAGGTGTGTGCCACCACACCTGACACTTGTTTGTCCTTTAGCTGGTCCCATAATCTCTGATTTAGCTCATGACCTCTAACCTTGTTTTTTTCCCATTCCAACCTTCCTTTCTTTGCTTCTCATTCCCTCACAACCCCCTATTTCTCCCAAAGTGTGCTTCTCTGAAACTCTGATTGAAGCAGTTTGCAGTGACTGCCTGCTCAGGGAAGGATGGGCATCAATACCATTTTTTTTCCCTTTTTTCATTTCCTCACCATGACTCCCCTGCTTTTCTCCACCCCCTACCTCTACCTTTCCCCAGTGGAGAAGCTTCCCTGGGAACAGAGAAAGCTGCTCCGGTGGAAGATGAGTACAGTAACCCCCAATATTGTCAAGCAGACCATCGGGCGATCCCACTTCAAAATCAGCAAGAGTGAGTCACTCACCCTATTGTGAGCCTATCCTCTTTGTCCCACCAAATGGGCTTTTGGTAGGAGAACCCTAGGTATGCTTATTGTGTGGTTACAGCTGGGGACCCTGTCTTGAAACTTCTAACCTCATAAAGGGCTCTGAAAGCCCTCTGGGTTGAGCCTGTTGCTTAGAATTGGGAGACAGAGGGTCTTTGTTCTGTTCCTGACCCCAGGGCCTCATGTAGGACAGTTCCATGGCAACTCTTTGAAAGTGCGTCTGGGAGCTGTGCACAGGCCCAGTGCTTTTTCTGAGGCCTCTGGGCCTCTCTCTCCCAGGGCCTGAGCCGCTAGTAGGACTGACTCTCTGATTGTGTTCTGCAGGAAATGATGACTGGCTGGGCTGCTGGGGTCACCACATGAAGTCTCCCAGTTTCCGATCAATTCGAGAGTATCAGAAGGTAAGGGTCCTTTCGTGGAAGCTGTTCCTCTGGTCTTTGAGCTAGACGAGGAGGACGGTGCTGTTGGAGTGGTAAAGGGTCATGGGAAAAGAAGAGTGACCACAGAAGTAGGAAGGTTTGTAGAGGACAGAGTCCAGGAGAAGGGTGTGGTAGGGAAACCCTAACAGCCCGTGCCCATTTCCAGTTCTGCATTGTCTCAGGCAGCCACCACCTGTCAGTGGCACTTTCTGCTCTGAGGTATCTTGAGAAGCATTGTCTGTTTTTAGTTGGTTATGCTTCCGGTATAACCACTGTACTTTGCCTCCATTCCTCCAAGCTGAGTGTTTGTAAAGATTTTTCGTCTCCTTTTGGAACAAAAGAGTTCCTTGCCCCCAGACTTCCTAAAGGCCAGGTGCTTTCCTGTCTTGTCCCATACATAGGCTGTCATGGAAAAAGTTATAATAGCTTTTTCTTTGCACTCAAGGTGAATATCATGTCAGTCTTAATCACTGTTGTGTTTTGTTTGTGTTTTAATGACCTTTTGGTGAGTGCTCAGAAGTTGGGTATGTTGGGATATGGTAGGTGATGGCAGTAAGGTGGAGTAGGCATGTGGATTGTTGCTAAGGAAGTTGAAATGGTGTAGTGGGACTTGTCATCTCTCCCTGCTCTCACCTTTTGTCCCTGGCATAGCTAAACCACTTCCCAGGCTCCTTCCAGATCGGGAGAAAGGACCGGCTGTGGAGGAACCTGTCCCGCATGCAGAGCCGCTTTGGCAAGAAGGAATTCAGTTTCTTCCCTCAGTCCTTCATCCTGCCTCAGGACGCCAAGCTCCTACGAAAAGCCTGGGAGAGCAATGGTCGCCAAAAGTGGATTGTAAAGCCAGTGAGTGGGCCACAGTGGGCAGTAGATGATGGTCTGAGATGGAGAAAACAGAGTTTGGGGCCTAGCACAAACCTTGTCTTCTGTGCAATTGCAGCCTGCATCAGCGCGAGGCATTGGCATTCAGGTCATTCACAAGTGGAGTCAGCTCCCCAAGCGCAGGCCCCTGCTGGTACAGAGGTGAGCCCTCCTCCAGCTTGCGTCGCTCTCTCCGTCCTCGTCTCCGCGGTCTCCAGGTCTCCTAATTATAACGTTCTTTTGCCCCTAGACCTCCCAGCCAAAGCCCTTCCATAGCCAGCTGTTTAAGGGTCTTTGCCGTGGGAGCTGTGCTGGTTTTCACTGGGGTTCAGTTACCCACTAAGCCTCATCCCATCTGGCTGGATGTGAAGCAGGCCTTTCTCTATGTAGGTATCTACACAAACCCTACCTCATCAGCGGCAGCAAGTTTGATCTGCGGATCTATGTTTACGTCACTTCCTACGATCCTCTACGGATTTACCTCTTCTCAGATGGGCTTGTCCGCTTTGCCAGTTGCAAGTATGTGATAGTGGTGAGGTGTCACCCTGACAGTTTGGGGAATTTATTTTCCTCAGAAGAGAACACCGAACAGAAAAGTAACATGTTTTGGTGACTTTTGTTAGCCCAGGGGAAAACAAGAGGAAATGGGAATTAAGAAGGTTTTGTACTTCACTGAATTTGAGGAGGCTCTTCCTGTAGAACTGAGGTGGGACAAAGAAGAGGATAGCTGTGGTTTTCTAGAACCTTGAACACTGGCACTTCTCAGGCTTTTGAGGATCTGAAAAGATCAGTGCACTTGGTCTTTGCCTTCTCTGGATTTCGGGAAATATTTGCCTCAATTTCCATTTACCTTCTCATCATGTTATCTCTGCCATTCTTCTTACTTCCAGGTATTCCCCTTCCATGAAGAGCCTTAGCAACAAGTTCATGCACCTAACCAACTACAGTGTCAATAAAAAGAATGCTGAATATCAGGCCAATGCGGATGAAACGGCCTGTCAGGGCCACAAATGGTACTGAGGGCAGAGTGTACCAGTCAAGTGCAGGAGACTGGGGGGTTTGGGGCTATGACAGTGGAAGATTAATATAACCCTTGAAGATTACATACACACTTTTCAATTCGGAATTGGTCTGTTTATATCCAACTTCATATCTTAATTTAAAATGTCAAAGGAACTGGGCACCTGTGGCTCATGCCTATAATCCTAGCTACTCAGGAGGCAGAAATCAGGAGGATTTTGGCTAGAGGCCACCCCGGGCAAGAGGTTTACAAGACCCTATCTCAAAAATACCCAAAACAAAAAGAGATTGGTGCAATGGCTCCAGTGGTAGAGCACCTCCCTAGCAAGCGTAAGGCCCTGAGTTCAAACCCCAGTACTGCCCCCCCCAAAAAAAAAAGGTATGAAGAAAATATCTTTGGCCTCTGATAGACTCTTATTCCTTGCTCTTTTTCTTTATCACTCATTCCCTGAATATAACCCCAAATACTCCCTTACCTCTACAGGGCACTGAAGGCTTTGTGGAACTACCTAAGCCAGAAGGGAGTCAATAGCGATGCCATCTGGGAGAAGATAAAGGATGTTGTTGTTAAAACCATCATCTCGTGAGTCACACTGCCATTCCGGGTGTGGAGCCCCCTTTTTTTTCATTGGCCTCATACTGCTGTGCTCTGGGCTCTGAAGTTCAGTTTTGAGGATAGGGAATAGGAAGGAGTAGATAAGAGTTAAATTCTCATTTGTGGGCTAGCAGAATGGCTCAAGTGGTAGAGCACCTGCCTAGCAAGTGTGAGGCCCTGAGTTTAAACCCAGTGCTGAAAAAAAAAAATTCTGTTCGTTTACTGAACTTCACCCAGGGGCTGGCCTAGATCAGACACATCTCTTAAGAGCCCTTTTCAAGAAAAGGTTGCTTCTGTCCATCTAACTCTGGGCCACTCCATTGGCAGGGCAGCTCTGGGAGGAGCTGGGCTGAATACTTCCTCATCTTCCTGACTAGGTCAGAGCCCTACGTAACCAACCTACTCAAGATGTATGTGCGGCGGCCCTACAGCTGCCATGAGCTCTTCGGTTTTGACATCATGCTGGATGAGAACCTTAAACCCTGGGTCCTGGAAGTCAACATTTCCCCAAGGTAGATGGTGGTTCAGTATTCTCGCAGTAGAATCCTTCCTGTATCCTCAGAACCCCATTGTCACTCTAGTCTGATTTGGGGAAGATCTTTCCTTCACTAGAATTTTTCTTCCCTACATGGTCTATGTTAGCTCACTCACTCATTCTTTCCCATTAACTTAATGTTCTTCGAGAATGAAAAGAGATTGCTAAAAGTTACTCATTTCGAGTTGATCCCTATCACATGCTTTCCCCTAGCAAACCAAGGTCATGGGCAGGTTTACTATCCTGAGTAAGGTGTGTGCGTATGTTTGAGTATTAGAGCCCCTTCTGCCAAGGAGTAATGGGGCTAGCCCTGACTTGGATGTAGAGCCAGAAGTTGTTTGGAGTGCCATTTTAACCTCACTTTGCATCCTTCCCTGAAGCCTTCACTCCAATTCTCCACTGGACATCAGCATCAAAGGCCAGATGATCCGTGACCTTCTGAATCTGGCAGGTTTTGTTCTGCCCAATGCAGAGGATATTGTTTCCAGCTCCAGCAGCTCCAGCACCTCCAGCAGCTCCAGCACCAGGTCAGCTCCCAGGCTTCCCTGAGGTTTGGCTGACAGCATGAGCAGCCCAGTAGGATTCTGGGAGGGAATAAGTTCTGGACATTCTCTCCTGCTTGGTCTCCCTTATGGTCAGTGTGCCTCTAGTGTCCATCCAGACACCACTCCCACATCAGTACCCCTAAAAGTAAGTTTGGTTATTTTGCTCCCTTGCTTAGGAGTCTCTACGGGACCTGGAAATCAAACTTAAGCTCCTTATCTGGACATTCCAGGCCCACCTCCTTTTCCTGAGTACATCTCTCTCTCTACTCCTCTTCCTGGCTCCTGTTCCCTGGCAGATTCTTAAGGATCAGTTAGTCCAGTATCCTCTTTTTATGCTTCTTGCTGTTCCCCCATAGTGTATTTTCCTCTACTCACGGAGTGTCTCCTTCTGAAAATGCCCCTCACCCAGACCCCTAGCCATCAAAACCTAGTTTCAGGCAACATGATGAAGCCATCTCAGTGTCGGCTTTTTCCTCCATACCCTAAAAGCACTTGGGACCCACTCTTGAAGAGAGGAAGCTAATGTTTAGTAAGTACTTGTGATGAGTAAGGAAATAACTACAATTTTATCCTCCCAACAACCTTACAGGATTAATACTAGTATTGCAGTTTATAGATAAGGAAACTGAAGATCTCTTAAGATACAGTAACCCTTCCAAGGTCTTTCAGCTAGGGAGTAGTAGGAGCGTGAAATTAAAATCCTGATTTGTCTGGTGACAAAAGTTTGTTATATACCTTGTACATGCATATTTAGTTCTGTTTTCCAGTTATTTGTCATTTGACTTATTCCACTTGCTAGACCATAAGCTACTTGGAGGCAGGAGCTGCTGTTAAATCATCTTTGTGTTCCTTTCAACAGTGATTAGTAATTGTATTAACATGGATGATAAAACCAAAGTGCCAGAAATTAAGTCACTTGCCAGTAGGGCATAACTGGCCAGTATAGTAATGTTCTCTATATTAAACTGAAATGTCTAGTGATTAGACTTACTCCAGCACACACACACCCCGCCTTTTTTCTTTTTCTTTTTTTTTTTGTCAATTTCAGCATATGGTGTCTTGCATGCTTTCTGTTCTTTCATAGTACTTGGTATTGGATGACTCTTAGACCCGCTACTTGAATGGACTGCATTTTAGTGTGATCCACTTATATGGATCTGTACGTTTCTGTCTTCTCTTGAGAAAGGTCTTTCTGGGCTGGACCTTCTCTTCGTATTTCCTCAGGACATGAAGCTGCTGACCCTGCCCTTTGCTCTTTGTCCACCCCCTGCCTTAGTCTGCCCAGTTCTCCCAAGGATAAATGTCGAATGGCTCCAGAGCATTTCACTGCACAGAAGATGAAGAAAGCTTATTATCTGACCCAGAAAATTCCTGACCAGGTAGGAAATTGATCGTGCTGGTGCCAACAGAAAGCTTCCTTGGTCATTCTCCAGTGCAACCAGCTTCCCCTCTCTTTATTGCAGAGTTTCTTAGCTCAGGTCTAGGCTCCCATGATGTACAGAGATTCGTTGTTATGTTCATCACTTCAGGAGAGAATCAGTGGTCTTTATCACATTATCAGGAACATTCAGCACAGTGCTATACTGGCACATTCTTTTTTCGTTTTCATTTTTTTTGATGTACTGGAGTTTGAACTCAAGGCCTTGTGCTTGCTAGGCAAGTGCTATACCACTTGAGGCATCCTCTCAGTCCTTTTTTACTTTAGTTTATTTTTCAGATACTTACTTTTGCCCTAAGGCAGGACTTAGACCAAGATCTCTGACCATGTATTCCCATGTAGCTGGAATTACATGTGTGCACCACCACACCCGGCTTGGGTTTTTGGTTGGGTTTTTTTGGTGGGATTGGAGTTTTAAACTCAAAGCTTTATGCTTGCAAAGCAGGCATTCTATCACTTGAGCTACACCTCCAGTCCATTTTGCCCTAGTTATTTTGGAGATGGGGTCTTGTGAACTATTTTTCCAGAGCTAGGATTGCAGGTGTGAGCCAGGGTTGCCTAGCCTGGCTTGTTTTTTGAGACACAGTCTCACTAACTTTTTTCTAGCTGGGCTGAGCTTGAATTGCTATCCTCCTATCTTACCTCTTGTTTAGCTGAAATTACAGGCACGCCCCACTGCACTTGACCCCTGTACTGAGCCATTCTTGACAGAACTGTCAACTTAACTTTAAGGTTTCTTTCCCTGAGAGGCACAGTAAGACCCTGGGAGACTCGACCTTCTCAGAGTAGAAATGGGAGCTATATGTCAGAGTTGTAGGATAAGAATGCCAAATCTGAGTTGCTGGACCCTGACCTCAATTTAATGAACCACTTCACAAAACCCAGTGGTTCCCTTCATCCAGCCAAGGTGTCTTCTTTTACCAGCTAAGGTCAGTGGACTTAGGAATAGATGAGGTAAGGTGCTGGCTCACTAGGTGGTGTTGGTGGTCCTATGAGAGTCCTGGAGCCCTAGAGCTCTTCTCCCCGTCCTCAGGTTCTAGCTTATGCTTTCAGCACACCCTCTGCCTCTCTCTTCCTCTGGCCGTAGGACTTCTATGCATCTGTGCTGGATATCCTGACACCAGATGATGTTCGGATTTTGGTTGAGATGGAGGATGAGTTTTCTCGTCGTGGTCAATTTGAAAGAATTTTTCCTTCTCGAATCTCCTCTCGCTATCTCCGGTTTTTTGAACAGCCACGATATTTCAACATCCTTGCTACTCAGTGGGAACAGAAGTACCATGGCAACAAACTCAAAGGTGATGTGCCCTCCCTGTCTGCAGGAGAACCTGTTTAATAAGAGATTAAATCTCATTAGACCAACAAACAGGCCTCTCTGGGAAGAAAATGGATCACTTGATCCCTCCCTATTAAGTCCCAACCCCTACTCATCTTGTCCTAGGAGTAGATCTGCTTCGGAGTTGGTGCTACAAAGGGTTCCACACGGGCATCATCCCTGATTCTGCTCCACTGGTGAGTAATGTCAGTGCGGGGGTAACAGTTCCTTCTTAGGCTCCTCTGTCTGCCATAAATGAAGTGTGGTTGCGTTGTAGGTACCCACTTGCCTCTCCCCTCTGCTCTAGGCCCTTCCTCTTGGGTCTCATGACCCTTTCCTTTCAAGGAAGCAATTACTTCCAGGATTGCCTGGATGCCTTTCTTTCAAAGACCAAATGGTGTTCCAGGGTTGGACGTGTGGCTTAAGCAGTAGAGTGCCTGACTAGCAAGGGTGAAACCTTGAGTTCAAACCCCAGTACCACCTAATTAATTAAATAGCTAATTAAATTTTAATTTTAGAAAAGTAGACCTTAGCATTTTGTCTGATTCAGGAGAGAACCAAGACTTTTACCCACATGAGCTTCTGCCTTAAGGGCAGTGCCCTATGATCACCTAGAGGTAGAGCTTGAAAAAGAGACGCAAAACCCTGCACACTCCTGCCTGACTTCTACCTGCTTTTGCCTCATTACTTCCTTCGTTCTTAGTGGACTCTGCCAGCATCACTTGTAACTGTCCCAAAGACTGACGGAACGCTCAATGCCTTTAGCAAACCGGAGCCAGGCAGGCTAGGGTAAGTGCATTTCTGCAGGAGAAGGACTGTGCAATGAGGTGAGCATTCTCCATCTGAATATTCAGCCACAGTATCCTCTTCCTGATGGCTCTTGGGATGCCTTCCAAAGCTGAACTAGAGACCAGAGTCACCTATGGAAGTGGCCACTTTCAGCCATACATAAACAAAATATATTTTGTGGCTATTAATATTTCCATAGAATTATGGTCACCATAATCTCTTGATTGCCTAACTCAGACTCTGAAAGCAGATTATAGGTTAGTCTCCATTGCTCGGTGTCTCAGCCATTTTTTTCCCTTCCATTTCTTTTCACAGCTCCTCCAAGGAAAACCTACAGCCCTCTGAAGATAGGACCACGTGCAAGCCCAAAAAGACTCAAGCTGACCTTTCACCTTCCCCCAGGAAACCTACCTCCTCAAAGGACAGTGAGGACACCAGCAAAGAGCCCAGCCTTTCTGCCCAGACAATACCTGTGATCAAGTACTCTGGGCGGACTTCAAGACTTTCTGCTTCCTCCACTTCCCAGTCAACCAGTGACTCCCTCCTGACTGCTGTGAGCCCGTGACTGGCCTCCTCCACATGCCCCTGCCTAGGAGCACCAGTGTCAGCTACCTCATGGGAGCCAGCCTGCTGACCAACCTGAGCCCTACCTCCTCCGCATGCCCCTCATCAGAGTATTTTTTGAAGTGGTTCTATTGCAGAGAAGGGTATCTGGAGGGCTGGAGGGGTGGGGTGGTGATGGGGAGAAGGTGAGGAAGGCTCACTCTCTGTCACCTGTCTGCCTGGCTGGCACCTCATATCTCAGTAGAGATGCTAGTGACAGCCAGGCAGCCTTATAAAGCAGGGTTTGGTTTCTACTTTCAGAGAGCCATGTGTGATTTGTTGTAGACCTTGGTGCAGTGGTTGAACTGTAGCTCAAGAAGAGAAAGAAAACATGCTGAACATACTTGGGCCAAGAAGTCTCTTGTTATGTAATTGAGGTTCCCATGTCATACTCGGCACCCCCACCTCCCCCAACACACACATACTGCCCTGGGAGCCACTTTCAGCAACCTTCAGAATTCTTTAGTAAATAGGCAGGAGAGCCCATGATGTGCTGGACCCATTTCCTGCCATCTTAGTCTTAGGGGCTTCACCACCTCCAGACCATTTCTCCTTTCATATTCCCACCCAGCCAGTAGGACTTGGTCTTGCTGTTTGGACCTTACATCAGTCCTTGTCCAGCCTTCTAGATGTCCCTCTGATAGATGTTCAGCTGTTGACGTTCTGTGAGATTCTAGGAACTTTGTGGATTTCCCATGACTCCAGTGGTGGAGCCCAAATAATTCCAGTTGCCATTATCTAGGTTCAGAGATCAAAGAACCCAATTTAGAGGGAGCGTGGAGGGAGCTGTGGTTTCCCCTCAACATGTAGGAAGTCTCGTGCTCTGTTTTATAGCAAGCAGGGTATGGTGATTTGGCAGCTGGTTTCAGGACAGTCACTGTTGTAGGATGGGATTCTGGTCAAATCTCTGGCTAAACTCACTCAACTGAATTTACTCTTCTCCCCAGACTCAGTAAACAGAGAGTGCTGAATAAATGTTGACTGAGTGAACTATGAACACACAGATCTCCAAGAACATGAGCACCCAAACCAGAAGCTCTGTTTCTCTATCCTGGGGAAGAGTGACACCCAGGGCCAGGGAAGCCCAAGGTGGGAGAGTTTAGATCAGAAGGGTTGTTTTCATTTTAACTGTGTTTCTCCCTAACCCAGCACTCCCTGGATACTTCTCTCCTCCGCAGTCCCTACATCCTTTAGTTTTCCTAGCAGTGGGGCATATCAGCCAGTTGGCCCCATGTCTCTAATGAGTGAGTTTGGCCCTTTGCATATCAGGCAGGATGCTCAGCTACCGAGTCTCACCCTGGTCTTTAGCTGTCTTCATTCCTTTGAGCTTTGAAAAGATAGAGACTCCCCTCCATGACTCCTGGAGTTCTGTGGCAAGTTGGGGTAGAGCCCTGGAAAGATCACTGAAAGGCCTGATTGGGTTCAAGGCCACAGGGCAGGTGGATGTGCTGCCCAGTCCTAAGGCCATGTTGACAGTTGTGTAGAAAGCTCAGTGGCAAAGCCTTGGGCAGCACTACTGCTCAATAATAAGGACTTCAAAGTCGGGCCTCACTGAAGAGGTTCTTGGCAGCTCTGGAAAATCTATTCTGATATTGTCAATGTTAACTCCCTCTTGACCTTCCTGGATGCAGTTTGCTAGTGTGTATGTGACAAGGGAAGTAAGCAGTCTTCCTTAGGGAAAATTCACCCGTGCTAGCAGCTTTGTTGTGGCTGGTCCTCTGGTATAAGTCTTAGGTGTGGAGGTCCTCTTGAGCTGGTCTAGTCCTTGGAAATCAACTTCTGTTCTTAGACCTGTCCTCTGAGGGTCCCTGTGCATCAAAAACATTCTTTTCCACCCCTAAGACTAGAGAGGGTACCAGCATTGCAGCATGATGGAAATGAGTGAAGAAGGAAGGATTTAGGAAATGAGTGCTGAATATACAGTGCTCTTACTAGTTTAAAACACATTTATACATACACTGTTCTTTGTTTTGTTTTTTTGAGACAGGGACTCACTTTGTATCCCAGGCTGGCCTAGAGCTGTTAGTCCTTCTGCTTCTGCCTCTGGAGTGCTGGAATTATAGGCATGACCATTACACCCATACAGTATTTTTAATTTTCATGACATTTGAATATCTGACGGGTGTTTTGCTGGGCTTATATATCACATTTACATTTCACTTGAGAGAAAGTAAAATCTTGCATATTAAACATTCAACAAACACACTTCAGAACTGAATAGACACAATATATGGCATTTAGGTAAGTAAGGAATTTTTAGAAAGTAATGATGCTCTTTTTTGAAAGTTTAAATTTGGGAGCCTAGTTGAATAAATATTTGTCAGAATGTCATTTGTTTTCCCAGGTTGATAATTTACCTAGACCCTATTTGGAAGAAATAGAGTGAGTGCTCCTGAGACAAGGAATGAGATACAGGGTATTTCTAGAGCAGCAGAGTAAGGATTTGGGACGGCAGATGGAGAGAATGGTCACTAGTCACTTTCACTTTCACTTGGTTCCTTAGAATGAATACTAATGAAGAAGTGGCACTGTGCTGGCAAACTATCATGGGCCTCAGAGGCTGATTTTGGGTTCAAATCCAGTTCTGCCACTTATTTTGTGACTGTGGGTTTACCATCTAACATTTTAAAGTCTCTTTCTTTGTCCTATGAGCATGATACCTACATTTCAGGGTTGTGAAAATGGAAGCCAAGCATAAAGGTACTTAGTACATAGAGGTGCCTACTTTCTTGGTTTGTTATCCAAGTCCTGTTCTTTACTAAAGAAAAGGAAGGAAGGGAGACAGGGATAGAGGAAGGAAGGAAAGAAGGAAAGGAAGGAGGAAAGTAAAGTAAAACTCTTTCCTTGAAAGAAGTAGAGCAACCACAGGGACATTTTAGAAGCAAAGAGGCCAGAATAGGATCTAGGTACCTCCTCACTTCACACATCCATAGTGTACACAGAAACATGACTTTCATTATTCCTTTTAATATTACATTATCACTGTGGGGATTTATTTCTTTGGTTAGATACTTACAGAATGCAAATTCCCTGGGGAGTGCATTAAACATTGGAATCGTATATGCAGTGTGTGAATTGATTTGATTATCCCAAGAGCAGCTTAGATTGGAAAGGAAGAGAAAGGGTGCCTGGTGTTGAGAGAGGGAGAAGCAAGGTACAGAAGACAGAGACCGTGACTGGAGCAGGAGTCAAAGGATGATGCATAGACCAAGCAGCTATACCAAGAAACAGTTATCACAGGGTGGCTGGCTATTTTGTTGAGGCTGACTTTCCATTATCACTAGAGATTAGTGACAAGTTCTTGGTCTCACCGGAAAAAGAGTTTAGGAGTGGACATGCAGGGGAGTCTTTTAACAGCAAGATTTATTAAAGCAAACATGAAAATGAGATTTATTGGAGAAAAGCAAAAGCATACCCTCAAAGAAGATTGGGAGTGGGCAGCCTGACCAACAATCAAGTGTCCTAAACTCCAGGTCTTTGCACTTTTATAGATAGGGTTTAATGATTATGCTATGGATATGTACATAATTGTGAAGGTTCTATTCCAGTGCCCCTCTGCTTTGAGACTTAGAAACGGATGGTTTTCAGAGATGTGTGGCATAGAGAGCCATATCTTCCCAGTTAGGATTCTGATCCATCCTCTCAGAAAAGCCTTGGCCTTGTAGATTCCTCTGTAGCAGAGTTAGCACACTTACAATATCCAGATTGACTTGCCCATCATCAGCTTTGGGTCCATGAAAGCTTAAGAACTTGTATGTTGGTCTTAGCAGATTTCTTACATAGATGAAAGAACACCAGAAGGGTCAATAGCAGGGTGGTGATTTTCTAAATCCCATTTGTGCCTTCATTATTAGAATGGACTGATACATGAAATGTCAGATACTGTCACAAAAAATTAGGACACCAAAGACTACCTCATAAGTAGTTACAGGGATTTAACCTGGGTGAGGGGAGAGATGATTAAATTGGGTGTAAAGCACCTAAGAAAGTGCCTCACGCATGGTGCAGATTAAAAATAGACTCTAAAATACACTAAGAAACTACTACCAAGCTGTTTCTTCCTTGGGCTGGCAGAGTGGCTCAAGTGGTAGAGTGTCTGCCTAGAGTCATGAATTCCTGAGTTCAAACCCAATATCACCCCACCCCCAAAAAAAACCAGAACCCTATTTTTTCCTTGAAGTGATAGTAATAGCATGCATTACAATACTGCTACTGTAGCATATCACAGTTGCTAACTGTGATACGATGCGCAATGGACCCTGTGGATCAAAGGGTTCCTTATGTGTGGACTCAGCCAACTATGGGTCAAAAATGTATGTAGGCCTATAATGGTTCTGGACATGAACAGACTTGGTTTTTTTGGGTTTTTTTTGGTCATTGTTGCCTCGACAATACAATATAACAGCTATTTACATTGTTTTATGTATTGGAGGACATGGGCAGGTTATACATAGAAAACACCATGCTATTTTATGTAAGGGACTGTGTGTCTGTGGGAGGTCCCGGAACCAATCCCCAACAAATACTGAGGGGCTTTGATTCTATCCTTGGGAGATTAAAGTTGAAAAGTTAACTAAGATAATTAACTTTAGAAAGATTAGAACTGTAATCAGTTATCAGAGAAGTGCAATTAAAAGTACAATGAGGTACCACTTACACACTAAAATGGCTCAAAAAAAAAAAAAGGCAAAATACCAAGTGTCAGATATGGAGCATGTGGCAGGAACTTATATCGCTGGTGGGGACAAAAAAATGGAATGTTGGAAACAGCTTGGTAGTTTCTTATGAAGTGAAGCAGGCCCTTAATAATGACCTAGCAGTTCCCATTCCGACAAGCAAATGTTTACAGCAGCTTTATTCACAGTAACAAAAACTTGAAAACAACCCAAATGTCTAGCAATCAATCAATAAACTTGTGAGATATCTGTAGGGTGGAATACTACTTAGGATAAACTGATTCATGCAGTGACATGGATGAATCTTAAGAATATCATACTAAAACCACGCTAAGATTCCACCTCGCCCCTGTTAGAATAGCCATCATTAGCAACACCACCAACAACAGGTGTTGGGGAGGATGCAGGGGAAAAAGGAACCCTCTTACACTGTTGGTGGGAATGTAGACTAGTACAACCACTCTGGAAAAAAATTTGGAGGCTACTTAAAAAGCTGGACATCGATCTACCATTTGATCCAGCAATACCACTCTTGGGGATATACCCAAAAGACTGTTACTCCAGAGGCAGCTGCACATCCATGTTTATTGCGGCACTATTCACAATAGCCAAGTTATGGAAACAGCCAAGATGCCCCAGCACTGACGAATGGATTAAGAAAATGTGGTATCTATACACAATGGAATTTTATGCAGCCATGAAGAAGAACGAAATGTTATCATTCGCTGGTAAATGGATGGAATTGGAGAACATCATTCTGAGTGAGGTTAGCCTGGCCCAAAAGACCAAAAATCGTATGTTCTCCCTCATATGTGGACATTAGATCAAGGGCAAACACAACAAGGGGATTGGACTATGAGCACATGATAAAAGTGAGAGCACACAAGGAAGGGGTGAGGATAGGTAAGACACCTAAAAAACTAGCTAGCATTTGTTGCCCTTAACGCAGAGAAACTAAAGCAGATACCTTAAAGCAACTGAGGCCAATAGGAAAAGGGGAACAGGTACTAGAGAAAAGGTTAGTTCAAGAAGAATTAACCTAGAAGGTAACACCCACGCACAGGAAATCAATGTGAGTCAATGCCCTGTATAGCTATCCTTATCTCAACTAGCAAAAACCCTTGTTTCTTCCTATTATTGCTTATACTCTCTCTACAACAAAATTAGAAATAAGGGCAAAATAGTTTCTGCTGGGTATTGGGGGGGGTAGAGGGAGGGGACAGAGTGGGTGGTAAGGGAGGGGGTGGGGGCAGGGGGGAGAAATGACCCAAGCCTTGTATGCACATATGAATAATAAAAGAAAAATGAAAAAAAAAAATATACATAGTTTACAGAAGGCAGATCAGGGATTGTCAGGGACTAGATGAGGGATTGATTGTAAGGCGGCACGTTAGAAATATTCTGTATCTTAAATGGTTGTAGTTATCCAAATGTTCACAATTGCTGAGGCTCACTGAATTGTACACAAAGTGAATATTATTGTGTGTAAATGTTTTTTGTTTTCACCTTGCTTGGATCTCACCCAAGACCTTGTACATGATGGGCAGGTGCTCTATGACTGAGCTATAACTCCCAATCCAAAGCTGATTTTTTTTTTTTTTTGGTGTTGCTGGGGTTTGAACTCAGGGCTTATGTTAACTAGGCAAGCGCTCTACCACTAGAGCCACACCTCCAGCCCACAAACCTGATTTTTTTTAAAGCACAAGAAGGTACTATTTTGCTGGGCTCTGGTGTCTCACACTTATAATCCTAGTTACTCAGGAGGCAGAGATCAGGAGGATTGTGGTTTGAAGCCAGTCTGGGCAAATTGTTTGTGGAACCCTAGTTCAAAAAAAACCTATCACAAAAAGGCTGGTAGAGTGGCTCAAGGTGTAGCCCCAAGAACTACAAAAAAAAAAAAAACTATTTCATG